TATTGCCCAGGTTATTCACGCGTGTGAACACTGCACACAGTCTCTCCTGCTCTGGAAGACTGTTACAAGAGATGGAGCCTGACATGGACCAGATGGACGCAGCAGCTTTATAGGGACTGGTCCATGCACTAAGATAAGAGTGCACCGAGATAAGAGTGATGGTATATTGAAAATGTGGGATCTGAGCATGACGTGAATGGTATGGAATAAGGGGTGGATAATGTCCTGGGTTCAGCAGTAGCAGTCATGTTTCCCCTCCTTGGTAGCTGGTGCAGTGCAGTGTTTTGACTTTCGGCTCGGGAACAGAGCTGATAGAGATGTTTTGGTTTGGCCAAGGACTTTGTGAGCCTCATGCTCTGCCAGGGAGGAGGGGAAGCTGGGAGGAAGCAGAGACAGGACACCTGACCCAAACTGACCAAAGAGCTATTCCATACCACAGCACGTCATGCCCGGGATGTAACTGGGAGTTAGCCGGAAGGGCTGGGAGACTGCAGGGTTGGAGGAGGTATCGGTCGGAGCTTGGTCGGGCTTGGGGGGCGAGTTATCGGTCAGCGGGTGGTGAGGTGTTGTATTCTGTTCCCTTGTTATTTCCTTTATCATTATTATCATTGGTGGTAGCAGTAGTGATTTGTGTTATACCTTAGTTACTAAACTGTTCTTATCTCAACCCGTGGGAGTTGCATTCTTTTGATTCTCCTCTCCGTCCCTCCGAGAGCAGGGGGAGGGCAAGAAAGGGGGGGGGAAGTGAGCGAACGAATTACCTGACTGGGTTTAAACCACGACAGGGAGGCAGATACTTTCCAACCCTAGCCATTCTATGATTCTATGATCCACAGGCCTGGCAATGCTGTGGGTGCCCAACCCAGCTGCCAGGCAATCACTAGAGCCAAACCCTCAAAAAAACAGCTTGAGGACAGCCTCCTTCGGAAATTTCCACTGGCAAAAATAGATTTATAAAGGCAAGTTCCTGCAGACCTTGGGGTGCACTTCCCCTGGCCTAGCACCCATAAGGAGCGAGGGAAGCACATACAATTTCTACATGTTGAAAAGTTGGTGTCAGGAAAGTCAGGGCTTAAAGTGGACTCACTGACTAGCCAGCTAGAATTAAGGCTTCTGGTTCTGGTGGAGACTGCAATGGCAGGACTAGCCCAGGAGTGAGGATTGCCAAATGAGAAAAGGCTCAGGATTGAAGCTGGCAGAGAACAACAAGGGTTCACCACAGACATGCCTCTCCCCAGCCAGGCAGAAACCAGGGTGGCCCAGCACAGGTATTTACACAGACTTTCAGCTCATCCTCCAACAAGTGATCCCTATTTCACATCCCTTACTCCAGAAGCAGATTAAAGAGCACTTCCAGCTCGTTTCCCTCTCTAAAGCTGCCTGGAGGAGGACCCAACCCAACAGCCTGGCTGCCATCTCTGCACCAGCCACCCTTTGATCTTCCCCAGGTGGGGTCCTCCTGCTCCAGGAAAGGTGCTGCTGAGAAAGTAGCAGCTGCTTTGGCAAAGGAGACCTCCTGACCTTGCTGCTGCCAGCATCCAGGACAAACAGCCTGTTTTGTCAGCGCATGGAAAGCTTACAACATTCTTGACAGCACAGCACACAAGGATGAGCTAGGCATTTCCCTGGGCTAGCCAGCATATGAGGAGATATGGATTTATTAGAGCTTCAAACACTCGAGGGCTTTGGGTGATGAGGGGGAATTCCGGATAAACTTTAAGCTATTTACAGCTTCTGCAAACTCCCTGAGATCCTCTGATGAAGATGAGTAGCATGAGTGATACCAAGAGAACCATACAAAGCTGGAGGCATGCAGCATTAAACCACATCTCCTTTTAATCCCTTCTTCCTGATAGCCTTGGCTTTGCTGAGAAGTCCTAATGGTCATGAAGCTACAGAGACAGGGTCAAGCACTACAAGCTAACTCCAAAGTTGCAAAAGCTGTTTTGTCATCTTCCACCTGCATAAGCAGGAAGCGGATCTCAAACCCTGGGCAGAAAGGGAAATCCCAGAGCAGCTTCAGGTGGTGCTGGAGCAGTTACATTGCTTGTGTGGATCCAGACACGCCTTGGAAAATCCCCATCAGGAAGCAGGATCCACTTACCCAAGGATGTGCTGTTGCCTTAGAGAGAGGGACAAGCTTCACCACAAAGGTCAGAGCCCCCTCACCCACACCATTTGAAAGACATTTAAACTTTGCCATTCCTAAGAGCAGTAGCTTTCCTTCCCTCACCCTGGAAGGGCAAAGGCCATCAGTACACAACTGCTCCTGCTGTCCCTGCACCCCAGCAGCTGTGGCAGAGCCTGGAGGATTCAGCAGTGGGCTCTTCTTGCTGACTGTCATGACACACAGCTCCCTACAGTGATGCTGCAGCACATGCTGGCCCTGGGGACCACTTCACAACCTCCCCCTGCACAGGCTTCCCAGCACTTGTCTCTCCCTCTCTGGGCATGCCTGGCTCTTCTGCAAGCCTTCAACTGCAGAGGGGGGAAAGGAGTCAAGACCAGCCAAGGAAAAGATCTCAAGCCCACCCCATCTCACTCCTCAGGGTCCCTGCTGATAGGCTCAGCATCGCAGATAGAGGGAGCAGCAAGGTGCCAAGCCTATCTGCATGCTCCTGTTATCACAGACATGCTGCTGCAACAGCAGCATTTTATCACTGCTGTTAAGCCAGGGCTCCTTGCTGTCCCACTGGGGTCCCCACAGAGCCCAAGCTGCACTTTGAGGCTCCTGGCTCTACCCCCAAACCCAAGTACTCCTGGAAGAGCAAGCCTATGTGCACAACCTTCCCCACTGGCACTGTCCAAGTCTCCAACCTGTGCAGAGGCAGGAGGAAAGGGGCAGGCAGGGCAAGGATCCACTCTACAGACCTGTTAGTCACAGAGTTTGGGGGGGGGTTCCTCTACTGAGGCAGTACAGCAATTCAGGCAGACCCCAGGGATCCCCAGGCACACATCCTGCTGAGTGGGTTCAGTGTGTTGGTGATCTCCCTCATTCCCACCCTTGAGTCATATTTCAAAAGGAGCAGGGACAGTCAGGCACAGCAATGTCAAAACTCCTCTCCATTTACTGGAGCACTGATGCTTCAGCACTTTCCAGTGGCTAATGGAGTGGCTCAACACCATGAAAGGAGCAGGTTGATGAGGAGACAAGGGGGAAGAAAAAAGTAACTCCTGCCTACCCTGCTATAGGTTAACCAGCTGCTATGGTTTTCGGGATGGTTTTTAAGCATCCTCTGCTCCTTTTACTATTAGTTAGCAATGAGGAAGAACCACCACCAAGAGAGGCTTCAGCACGGACTGAACTGCTCTCACTGCTGCTTCAGCACAGCTCAAACATTCTCAGAGGGCCTCAAAAGAGGCAGCAGAGAAACTCAGTTCCTGCAGCACTTCCCACAGCTCATGCTGCAATCTTCCAAGGCATTGGCTTTAACTTAGCAGCACTGCACTAACTCACTCGAGCTATCAGAAAAAGCTTACTCCATTTTGCAGCTAGTTTATTTTTATGAGCAGGTCTTTGCCTCTCAGCATTGCAGCTTGAGAACTATCATTTAATGTAACTGATACTCTCAAAAGGACTACCTCTACATGCAGATTAGCTCCAGGGTGTTTCTGTAACAAAACCCTCCTCCCTCCAGCACCAGGCACAGCAGAAGGCCCCATGGCACTCGTTCATACAGAGGCTTATGAAATACCTGGAATGATGCTGTACCTTAGTTTCTTTCTGTGTTTAAAACCCAGAGCAGCAGCACAGCCTGCACAAGGTCACGGAGCAAGAAAGTTTGCAGAAGCACTTGTTTTCACACGCCAGCCAGCACTCTCCATCTGCCAGAAAGGACTGCAAGAACCCGGCTTATCCAGATCAATAGGAAGAGGGCCCAGGGTGTTCTACCATTGAGGATGTAATGCAAGACACAGAGCTTTCATCTAACTGAGAAGAGCAGCCTCTGGAGACTGGGTAATGGGGAAAAATCCCAAGATGAAAGGAGGAAAATGGGCCCCCACATGCCTCATTTTGCACTTTGTTCTTGTCCACTGGTTCAGTTTCAACTGATGAAGCATTGTCCCAAGTGGTATTATGAAATTCCCAGATCATGTCATGCAAAGAGAACGTACAGTGTTTGCAAAGGGGATGGGTAGGAGAAAAATCCCAGACTATTCCAGGAAACACAAGGAGACATCCCTGAAATTACTTCCCTTGTATCAAGGAGGGAAAGGGAGGACCTCCCATCTTGCTCCCTGTACCCAGCCAAAACTAGGTCAGTGACACAACCCTACTCACAGCCAGAGCTCCTTCTCCAGACACCAGGACCCACAGAAGGGTCCAGCCCGGAGGGTGAAGATGGGGACAACCTTACAATTCCCTTGACCTGACATGTTTCCTGCAAGCTCCCCAGCCCCACTAAAGAGGCAGGCAGTTCCTCCTCTGCTTCCTCCACAGCACCACAACAGTGCCAGCTGGCTTCAATGAGAAAACCCACTTCAGCCTCACCCTGGCCCTTTATCAGATGAAAATAAAGGGGGGGGGGGGGAATCCCACACCTTACTTTCAAAGGCTTCCTCTACCCCTTTCCCAGCTTCTAAGGTGTGGGAACCACTACACCTGACTGGCACTCCCCAAACACCTTCAGAAGCAGCATGAGGAGCTCAGCCTGGTCTTCAAAACCCAGTGCTCAAGCTACAGCACCCTCAGACCACTTTCCCCCAGGGCAAAGTGGGGAGGATGTGTGTAGGATATCCACTGCTTCACATCCCAGAGCCAAGCTACCTCCCTTCCAGAAAGCTTCCTCCCTCGACCTTGACACAGACACCATCCCCCGCACCAGGGAGAGGATGAAGGTCCTTCCTTCAGGCTTAGCACAAGGGGCGTTGACCAGCCGGCCAAAACGGAGCAGCCCCTCTCCCATCCTGGTCCCAGGCGAACTATGCCCACTGCCACACCCGGGCACCCACTGAAGGAAAGGAAGCCGTAGGGAACGCTCCGGGGAGCCAGCACTCACCACTGTGCGAGCTGAACCACCGCGGTGCGATGTGGAGGGGCAGCGCGTCGGCCAGCGAGGCCCTGGCGCCCAGGTACAGCATCCCGTCTCTATGGTGACCGCCTCCCGTTTCCTGGTAACCGTTGCCATGGGCGTACGTGGAGTCGGAGACCGGACCGCCGCCGCCGCCCGGAGCCCGCCCGGCTTCCCCTGCCGCAGCCGCGTACAACCCGAAGGGGACGGCGCCGGCCGCCGCGGGCTCCATGCCCATACCAGCCACCGAGCTGACTGAGCGGCTGCGCAGCCCCATGGCGCCGCCGCCGGCCGCCCGGTAATGGCCGAAGGGGGACGCCCCCCCCCCACCTCCCGGCGGCGGCACGGCACTGTCATCCGTCGACACCCCCGGGAAGGGGCCTCGCGAACGGGCCGCCGTGCTCTGCTTACCCCCCATATGGGCACCGCAGGGCCGGAGGAAGGCGAGCGACAGCCCCCCCGTGAGGAACGGGGCCGCGCCGCCCCCGGGAAACGAGAAAGGGCAGAAGGAAGCAGGGGAGGCACGGGCAACTACGGGCGAAAACCCATCCTCGCCCCAGACATCCTCCCCGCGCCGAGCCCGCAGGGGCGAGGGCGCTCCGAGGCCGCCGCCGCCGCCGTCACTCCCGGAAAGGACCGCCGAGGGCTCCGGGCCCCCGTAGATGAAGGGGAAACCGAGACGGCGAGGGAAGTGAGATGTGTGTGGACGCCAGCCGGGTCGCTCCACCCGCCTCGCTCCTGCCCGGGGCGCGGCCAAGCAGCCGGGCGACAATCAGCTGCTGCCCATGTGGCAGCGCGGGCGCAGGGCCCCGCTCCGCTAGGTACGGCCTCGCTGCTAACGGCCAACAACCACCTTGGTGCTCGACGTCGCACCGGAGACAATAGAGACCGGTAATACGCATGCTCCCGCCTCCTTCCCCGGCCCACCGCCTTTAACCCCTACGCTGCTGCCAGCCACTGCCATCTGGGTCTGCGCTCGCCGCTGAGGCCACGCGGGTCATAGAGACACCGCGCTCCAGGTGGGCGTTGCCCCGCGGAGCACAGCCCTCGACCCCGCTCACCCCGTGGGCCTGCAGCGGGGCCGTAACCACGCGAAAGTCGCTGCAACTAGGCGCTCAGAGGAAGTCGGGCCGCACTAGAGCCACCCACATCGTAAGGACCCACCAAGTGCACCGGGACTGGGGATGTGTGGGGAGTGAGCGCAATAGGACTACATTTCCCGTCATCCCCCGCGCGGCGCACAGTTGTACGCAGGCGCACTGCCGCTAGCCCCGCCTGTATTGGGGCGGCCCAAGATGGTGGCATGCTGGAGCAGCGAGAATGTGGTGGTGAAATTTTGAGATGCCCAGGTTGGGGGAGCTGTTGTAGCTGGCGGTTGCTGCCCTGCCCTGCCCTGCCCTGCCCTGCCCTGCCCTGCCCTGCCCTGCCCTCCCCTCCCCTCGCCCCTGCCCCTGCCCCTCGGGGCCTTTCGCCAGCTGTAGTGAAGCACGAAATCAGACTACAGCTGTGAAATACAAGCTCACTCCTCTAATAGAGATAACAGGGTTTTATTGAGGGACAAAGTCAATAAAGCAAAAGCAACAGCGCTGGACGCATGGCCATAGCCAGAGGTGCACTGATTAGCATTTGTTATAGGTTTATATACTTTCACTATTGCATTAGCCATATACATATTCATATTCCCACATATAGGTGGGGAATATTATAACTAGCTCCAGGAACTTATTATCACGATTCTCCTCCTCTTGGCGCCTGCGCACTGCTCTCTGGTGACTGTGGGCAGGGGTCTTGAGGATAAAGTAAGCAGTCTTCCTCATGTGAGCAGGGGTCTTCAAGATGAAGTAAGCAGTCTTCCTCATGGTGTACTTTTCACCTTTGGCACAGTTGGATGCCCCAGTAATCACAAAACTAGCTGAAACCAGCCATATCTGTAATTCTTCTGATAGCTGGCAAAGATTTAGAACAGTGTGACCTTCCTGCAAAATTTCTTGCAGGATGGGCAGACAAGGAGTATCCCAAGCTAGCAGATGTTTGGGAGGCACTGTCTCTAAACTAACTGATAAATAGAAGGATGGTGTGAAGTAATTCATTCATGTTTAGTGGGGCCACTAAATTCCACAGACTTACAACACAAACATTGTTCTTTATCTTCAACCTAAGTTAGGCTAAAAATACTTTAACCCTATGTATTCCAGGCACCAGCTTTTCTTATATCAAGCCCCTCTCCCCTTTTCTTTTACCTTTACAAATTATTTTGCTGTGTGACTCCATTTTGCTCAAGAGTTCTGGCCATTTTCAACTTGTTGTCTAATCTTTTGTCTTTAGCTAGCTTTGCAAACTCATAGTTATCTCCACATAGCAACACCTATGATTTGCGAAAGCCAATACATTTATGCGTTTATCACACAACTCAAAGAGAGTTATAAAGCAGGTATGTTTATTACGGCGCCGGGTGGAAGGGGGATTGCTCCTTCTAACTTGCACAGATGCCCCAAATTGGGGAATATTACCTCCCCAGGAAGAGAGCCAGAGTTTCCTCAAAGTATCCCACAAGGGAATTTGAAACCAGTCATATAAGCTCACTCTTAACCTTTTGTCTCCCTGTATTCGCTAGTTATTACCTATATATTGCTACATAGTACTCTTCTTGAGAGTCAGTTTGGTGTCACCTGGCATAGATATAACAGTCCACTCTGTAGGTTCTTCCACAGGTCCTTTAATTCTGCTGGCGTGGGTCCATCCTCTTTCTCCAGTCCGGACCACAAGTCCGTTGTCAGCAATACCTGAAAGGGACCTTCCCATTGTGGAGTTAAAGATTGCTCTCTCCAGGTCTTAATCAATAATCACTCCCCGGGATTAATGTTAGGAATTTTAAAGTCTAGAGGCATCATCTGGGGAATCCATCCTTTTGATCTTAGATGTTCCAGAGTCTGAACTATTGTGGTGATATATCTTCTGATACTCATAAGTAGCATAAGGTCTCCTTTTGGGTTGTCATAAAAGGTAATCCAAACATCATTTCATAAGGAGATATCCCTAAATCCGATCTGGGTTGTGTTCGAACTCTTAACAGTGCTAAAGGCAAACACTTGACCTAGGACACTTGGGTCTCAATCATTAGTTTAGTTAATGTTTATTTCAAGTTTTGATTAATTTTTCCACTCCTCCCAAGCTTTCAGGATGCCATGGTGTGTGCAATTCCCATTTTATCCCCAAGGCTTGGGTTACTTGTACAGTTTCTGATGTAAAATGTGTTCCCCTATCTGAGTCAATTCTGCTAATCATCCCATATCTAGAGATAATTAGTTCCAAAAGAGTTTTTGATACTATATTTGCTGTAGCCCTGACAACCGGAACTGCTTCCACCCAATGAGTTAAGTGATCTACTATTACTAATAGGAACTTCCACCTCTGCACAGGAGGGAGTTCAGTGAAATCTGTTTGGATGCTTTGAAATGGCTGCATCACTAATTCACGTCCCCCAGAGGTAGTTTTTCTTATAACCTTTTTATTCACTCTTTGGCAAGTCATGCATTTATCAGTTATTTGTTTTGATAACCCAAAAATTCCAATACATCCATACTCCCTTAAAAAGCGATCATGAGGCTTGTGTGCCCCAATGAGTCTTTTGATGTATGTTTTCTAATATCTCCCTGGTCAGTGGTTTATTAAGGAGTTGCCTCCCATCAGGGAGTTTCCATTTCCCCTGTCGATCCTGTTTTCCTCCTATTTTACTCAACTCTTTCTCTTCTGACTCACTGAATTTTGGAATCTCCAATTCCTCTTCCTCAGGTAACAGAACCAACATGACTCTCTCAATTCCATTTTCTGCTGCATCTCTAGCTTCTTGGTCTGCTAGATTATTTCCCTTTATTTCGGGTGTCATTCCTCTCTGATGTCCCCTAGCATGCACTACAGCTATTTCTTCAGGTAATTTTAATGCTTCCAAGACTTCCAGGATAAGCCCTCCATGAATCAACCCCTTCCCTTTTGGATTTAAAAGTCCCTGTTCTTCCCAAATTTTCCCAAAGGTGTGCACTACACCAAATGCATATTTTGAGTCAGTATAAATAGTTCCCTTCCTATGCGCTAGGTATTCTAAGGCTCTTTTCAGAGCGTATAGTTCACACGTTTGAGCAGACCAATTTGAGGGTAGTTTCCCTTTTTCAATGGTTTGCATCTTTTCTCGTTAACTAGCGCATACCCTGACATCCTTTTTCTCTGTAGACATCTAGAAGATCTGTCCACCTATATTCTTTCACCCTCCAGGAGAGCCTGTTCCATTAAATCCTCCTGAATCTTGGTCTGGTATTGTATAACTTCTAAACAGTTATGGGTTAAACCTTCTTTTTGTTCCCCACATAAGAACTGAGCAGGGTTTAGACTTTTGTCCACCATTAATGTTAAATCATAGTTATTAATTAATATCGCTTCATGCAAATAAAAGGGTTTGTCCACTGAGGGTCCAGCAAGCCCTCAGTCCCATTGGTCAACATGTCTGTTCCCACTTCTCTGCCTGTCCCAGCACTCATCCCATGCTCAAACACAGGAGCTGCGTGAGCTCCCCTCCTTTCCCCCTTGGTTTTCCTTTTTTTTTTCTCACAGTTGTTCACCCTGCTCTGCAGGGGCTGCAGATGCCTGCCTCTGCAACAGTGCTTCAGTTTTAACCCTTTCTTAACTGAATGTGGATCTGCTGCTTGTTGCCAGTGACAGCAATCTCTTCCTCCTTATCAATATCAGATAGGACAGATGCAGAGGGTGCGTGTCTTGGAGGTACCTGTGATACATAATTTTCCAACCTATCTTCCTGATTACTCTGGGTTTGTGTTTGTTTGTTTTGTTTGTTTTGTTTTGTTTTGTTTTTAACTTTAAACACCTTTCCCCAGTATCACAGGCTGAACAACATCTCTCCATCTTAGCTTTCTGTTTTTCCCTGTCCTTTTCCAAAGCCAAAATTAAGGGATTTGCCTGAGCTATATTAATTTCGTATTCCATCTGTCATGGCAGGTCATTTCTTAAAGTGAAAAACATCTGCATACATCACTTCATCCCATTTTCCTTGTCACTTTAAGAACAACATCAATTGTAACAATGTATTATAGTTCAAAAGTTCTGTTGAAGGGCCACTTTTCCCCATCTTCCAGTTTATATAAAGGCCACCATTGATTACAATATTTGATCAGTTTTCTTATTCACACTTTCTCCCGGTGGCCCCCCCTATATCTTTCCAATGAGCTAAAATGCAACCTAATGGGCTCTTTCTGAGAATTCCCCCACTCTCTTGTCCTCCCATTGTAATCCTTTAAAGATATATGATATGTTATGTTTAGCCCTACAACAATGACATTTTACCTAGAGTAATATGTATAACAGAGTGCTGCACCCAGAATGGATACACCTACATTCCAAACAGTTCTG